AAAACCAAGCTCCAAATGCAATAAAAATTCATTACAAAAAGTTCATTGTTAACAGATTCAGCTCTACAATCATCCAAATTACATCCCTCCGAACATTCCGAGGACAGCCAGAAAAGACTGGGTCTGAGTTCCCCACTAACGTGAAAATCAGGACCCACAAAGATCCACAAAGATATAGGCGGCCAAGTTCAACAGTTCACTATTGGCTGTCTCATTACTGGCTCTTCATGAAGGCCACTTGATTTATCACTGTACTAGGCCTGAACTCTTCGACCAGGAGGTCTGCTCCATTATGCTCCATTACTCCCGGCCACATTTGCAGGCAGCCTCTGGGGCTTCATCGACTTCCATCAGGAAGTCTTGCTGGGAAAGGTTCCACGTGCCCCTGTGATAATGTGATTTAGACTCCCGAAGCTCAGGTCCACTGAGAATCCTGAAGAAGGAACCCAGCATGAGTTCATTCTCCTTCCCAAGGGAAAAAAAAGAGCAGAAAGAAAGGGAGAGGGATTTTTGCTTGTCCTCTCCTGAGATGATGAAGTTCCTTTTCATTTGCTTCTGAGGTCTGCCAAGTGGATGGTGATTTTAGCCCCACCCTTCTTGCCAGAGCATCAGGAAGGCACGTAGGCCAGCAGCCTCTTCATTATCTGCGATTAGATCTACAGCTAGGATCTGTCCACCTAGTGCTGACCTGGGTTAACCTCAGATTCTATCTCTGTAGCTTTCCATGATGGGCATTTGGTGTGCAGAAGGGTTTTTATTTCAAGTTAAAGCTTTTCTTATACTCAAAAGCAATTTACCCTGGAAATTGTTGCTATGAAGACAGGAATGAAGGATGCACGCATTCAGCTTCAAAGTCAGTCCTCCATTCTCCCTGACAAAGCACCTCTACTGCCTCCCAGAGCAAAGATCTGATGAAACACTAAGAGTGGGCACACCCAGTACACAGCAAATCCCAAATTTCATGGCATATGTGCCTTTCCAGATGACTGCATGGATACACTCCATAACACATTGTTAAAGTGATAATTAGCGATAGACTTGTTATGAATATTCCAAATAAAATTTCTCTCCACAACAGTTGATGGAAACAAAGGCATCCCACAAAATAGAAGAAGTAACAGAGGGATTTTTTAAATACATATATTTAAAAAGGCATTGGGAAAATAGCATCCATCAGGAGTCAGTTTCAACGTATTTATACGTCTCAGAATCCGTTTTCAATGGAAGGTGTGTGAGTACATATATTCCTACCACAGTGCTAAGAGAATACAATGTGCCCCCTTAACAACAACGACAACAACAAAACCCAGTAATGGAAGGGAAATTCAATTCTGGAAACCACTCTTCTGGTGCCCTGATTAATAGTAGCTAGGAATACTAAAGATGGGTAGTATAGGAAAACACAGAGGAAAAGCTGAGGAATAAGCATAAAGTAGCTCCAACCAAGGTGACTCACACTTTAAGAGTGAAAGAGAAAAGGCTTCTATTCATGTTTCACATTTTCTCCCTAAATGAAATTGCTGAAGGCTCCAGCTCTGCCCCCACAACCTTTTACACATATTCCCATTTTTAAATTCGCAGTGATTTTTGCTCCACATGGAACAACGGTGATGCCAATGACACACTCTCTCTCCTCCCCATTGCCTAATTCACCAGGGCAGACGAAAGACTCCAGGCATCCAAAGTGATGATAGTAAGGAGGGGAGGGAAGCTTTGATGCCAAAAGAACAAAAGAAGGAGCCCCAGATGCTAACATGGCCATGCCCACTGCAGACTGAGAACCAGTGCACCTCAGGGACATGGAGAAAACCAGCCCTTCGGAGCTTAAAAGGAACAAGGAGAGGAATGTAATTAGCAGTGTTGCTGTGTCTCCTCTGCTATGATCAGGGTTTCTGGACTTACTCAAATGGAATATTCTATTTGAAGGGTGAAACTGAGCTCTTCTAGTCCAAGAGGAAAGCTGGTGGCGGCACATATCAGCACGCGCTCATGCAGAGTCCTCTGCTGGTAGAAGCTTCTGCCACCTCCTTTCAGTACTAACAGATATCATCCAATACCATTTCCTACCTTAACCAGTTACAGAGTCTGAGAAGAGCCCTCAAACTATCTAAGTACACCCTTCAATTTCTAAATGAGGAAACCGAGGACCAGAGAAGTTGAATAATGTACCTAATGCAAGGGCTTAAAAACAGGTGGCAGGACTGGTTTTAGATCTAGGACCACTGAGTCTCAATCTTGCTTCTTCTATTAAAATGATGCAACCCCTTTCTTTTATTACTTGGACTAAATTAACATTCATGCCACAGAATTATCTTGGAAGAAGTCAGATTAAATATTAGGACAAACATTTTGAGAAAGGAAAAACTAACATTCAGTATAGAATAATCTCAGCATTGCAGATAAGACCCAGCGGCCTGACCCCAGCTTCCTCAGGACCTGAAAAAAGCTGGCCTCAGTGCAGAGGTCACCAGGAGCAGCCAGGGGTGGCTGTGAGGCTGCTGGCAGCCTCCAGGCCTCACACTTCTTCTGCCCCAGAGTCTTTGTACTGCTCTTCCCTCTGTGGGCGCTCCTTTCCCAGATATCCGCAAGGCTCACTCTCTTACCTCCTTCAGTCTGCGCTCATGTGCCCCCTTCTCAATGAAGCCTGCCCTGACCACTCACTTTAAAATTGTTCCCTGAGATGCTCCATCTCCCGCACCCTACTTAATTTTTTCCATAGCACTTATCAACTTCTAAGACTATATAATGTATTATTTATTATGCTTATTGTTTTCTATCTTCTATTTTTAAAGAATATCCATGAGGACAAGGAATTGTGTCTTTTCGGTTCACTCTTGATTCTCCTGGGTCTAGAATAGTATCTGGCCATAATAGATGCTCAATAAATACTGGTTGACTAAACAAATGAATGAATGATTCCTCTTTACCTTTGCTTCTCATCCCTTCACTCTCTTCCTCAGCAACAATCACTACACACACACACACCCACACCCCCACACACACACACACACACACACACACACCCCCCTCCTACCCTTTTCTCTCTTCTTCTCTACCTATACCCCAGGCCTGCCACTAAGATCAATAAGGACAGTTTAGGCTAAACTTAGAATATTCAGTAATAATACTGTCAAGCCCTCCACTAAACACTCATATCTTATACATATAGTTGGGTTTACATGCATAAAAAACCTCTAGAAGGCTATACAAGAAACCGATACCACTAGGTATGCGCAGGGACCCGGATGGCTGGGGCACACAGACTTTTCACTCTCAATGCCTTTGTACTATTTGAATTTTGAATTATGTGAATATAATTAACTATTAAACATGTTTAATTAAAAATGAAATTGAAAAACTCACAAAACTCACATATTCCTCCACTCTTGTCCTCAATATCATCTTAATACAAATTTTTCTGGATGAAGGTCACAAAATGCTATCAGCCCTGGATTAGGATGGTGAGATAGGGTGACAGTTCTCCTTTTCTCTAGTTCCCACATTTTCTTAAATGAGATTGTTACTTTTATAATGAAATATTTGAAAAAGTTTCCATCAAGCAGAAGGATATGAATTAATGCAAATTTCTCTACATACATAAAACATTGAGACTTTGTTTCATTTCATGAATCCCTTTACCTTGAATTTTGTTTACTCCCATTTGGATTTTACGTTTTACAGATTTCAGAATAAGTCTTATAAGATGGTGCCAGGGTCTCGAGGTGCAAATGAAGGACACAGACAATGCTTTCAAGGAGGTTGTATCCGGTGAGGATGTCCATAAGCAAGCAAGTCTCATTGCCTGAGGGACACACATAAAATATGACAGCTGTGATGAATGGGTGGATTATATGTGATTTTCTTTTTTCTTTGGGACTTTCAGATTGTTCCAAATTTTCTGCCCTGAGATGTATAATTGAACTTACATATTCCCCTTACTAGACATGTGGGTTATTAGTAAGTGACCGTCTCTAGGTTGTGATCTTCCTAAATGTGGAGTCCCTATTTAATTCATCTTTGTCTTCTCTGCCTCTAGCCTGGCACCTTGTAACAGTGGCTGCTCCTTAAATAGGTAATGAATGAATGAACAAATACCTATTTCTTAGCATCCGGTGAGGAAATGCAAGATATACCCCAACACCAGACCCAAACAGACAACACCACGCACTCATTCACCATCTGTTTAACTCTAGCATCATTCATGGGTTTGCTCTGTTCTGGGCAAAGAAAAGGAGGCCAGAGCTACCCAAGTGTGGATATAGAAAGGCATCTAAGAAAGGGCATGTGCGGCCTAGCCAGTGGCCCAGGCTCTAATGGACTTGGACACCACGCGGTTAATGCTGGCTCCATACTTGGAGGTCTTCGTAACCTTCACTAATTATCTTTTTGTCTCTTTCTGAGAATTTACCTCAAGGAAATAATTGTATGAAGATTAAACTAGAACCATGGTCATTCATGCTGTTGAAAATAGAGAAAAGTTGAAAACAACTTAAACATGGAACCATATGCAATTAGGTAAATAAATGATGGTCTATCTTTATAATTAAGTACAGTGTTCTTATATTACAATGGCTGCAGACTCATGTAATTGACGGCAAAAAAAGAGAAATTCTTTGAGCTGTAGCCACTTGGCTTTATTCTCTTATACGAAATGACTCAGCACCCTCATTTTTTTTTTTTGTAAATTACTTCACATTTGGCCTCAGTTTTCCCTTCTGTAATTAAAGGTATTATGAATCAAAAAAAAAAAAAAAGCTTGTTGATATAGACAAGCTGTTCATGATAACACATTAAATGACAATGAGTGTTACCAAAGACCATATGTGGTATTGCGACGTTGCAGTTGCATGTGATACCATACGCCTAGAAATGGATCTGCAAGGCTCTTCAACAGAGTCTGAGTGATTGTCTTCGGGGTAAGTTGGGTCGGAGGCTGGTTTTCTTTTATTTGTCTATATTTCTAATGTTTTTTATCATAAGCACGTGCTGTTTTACAATAATGAAAATGACAACCAAAGTTACTTTTAATTCAAGAAAGAAAATAACAACTGCCCTGGATGAGGATAGACACTAAAAGGCTAGAGCAAGAGTTGTGGGGTAGAGCCAGGTAGAACGCTGAGAGAAGGCTGGCCTCCTCTAAAGTTACCTTCTCCCAGGGGTGGAGGCCTGCTCCAGGCTCCTCCACATTTACAAAGACCACACTTTCTCTCACACATCAGCCACAGCACATCTGCCACGTACTGGGGCCCCACCAGGAGAGGCAGAGTTGCCACTGTGTGAGTTGCACCTGGGACAGGGCGAGGGAGGGGAGAAAGGGACCAAGAAGCTGACGGAGGACACACTGACCAGGCCGGGTAGCATCTGTCAGCATGGACCCCGTTCACAAATGAAACAAGCACGACAGGAACTTGGCAACTTCTGAGAAACAGTAATGTCTAGGGTACTTTAGTCTAAAATGACCCAGTTTTAGGTAAGACAGTTAAATCCAGAACTTGGAGGGAGAAAATGTTAACATTTTCTCATAGAGAAGGTTAACCAGAATTCCCACAGCTGAAGAAGGAATAGCATGATGAAAGGTAGATATAAGATCTTCAAAGTCTCAAGAATGGCATCCAGGTAAGGTAGAATCCAATGTGGGAGGGAAGGTCTCTTCTCACAGTATCTGTTGGCAAAACTAGTTGTAACTCAACAGAGAATTTTCTCAGGGTTACTCTGAAAGCATTTAGACTCATGCTGCTTCTTTGGCTTCTTTGGCCTTTGTTCCAGCTTTTGCAATTGCAAAGTGAGAAAGACCTGCTGTGTGTCCTGCATTTGGTGGGTCCTGGATAGACAGCTCAGGAGCTGCTGTGGGTGGCTCTCGGTCATTGCTGGTATCTGCAAACAGGGAAAGCGCTTATCACGATGGGACTCTACCATTCTCCTGCTTTCATCATGTCAATAATGGACAGAAATGAGACAAAGAGATGGAGTGGGCAATGGGTGGGACATAACAAGCTTGGGGAGGGAGGCAGTGCAGGAGGTTAATAAGGGTGGCGGGGCCAATAAAATAGCAGGAAGAAGGACAGATCCTGGAATGGAATGGCATGGTCAGAGATGAAAAGAATTCAGAAAGCAGGGGCAGAAGGCATGAGCAGAGAGGTGAGGCCAGCTTGGGCTAAAGTGCTCACATTCCTCGCCTTGCCTTGTCACCTTCTGCTTTGCCATCTGCCTCCCATTCTTCTGGCCCAGCAGAGGTCATCCCAGCCCCACCTCCCAAACCCTACCTACCGCTAACCTTCCTCTAAGTCCTACCAGAGAAACAGACTTACCTCCACCGTTCTTGGGCCTGCATGCCTCCAGCTCCAGCTGTCCTCGGGGCTCCTGTCGCAATCCCTCAGGCGTCGGTTTCCTTGGCCTCTGGCACGGTATTGCAATCTGTACTTTCAGAATCTCCTTTCTTCCCATTCTTCAGGAAGGTGTCAGGATGTTTTGTCCCTCGACTGGACAAGATCCAGCAGGAGTGGGCAATGCAGGGCCAAATCCGAGACACCAGACTGAGGGACAGGAAGGGGAAACACGGGACAGTCCTGGGTGATCTGGACCATCTGGTCACCTCGTTCTAGTTTTATGAGTGGACATTTAGACAAGGAGATCGAACTGGATCAGAATTCTAAATTTAGTATATAGTAGAGTCACCGGGTTACTTATTTGGGACCCAAGACTTTTTGTCACCACTGATCTTCACAGATCTATCTACCAAAGACATAAACACCAGACAGTTTCATACACTTTAAAAATGTATGAACACTAACCGTAATCAACAACCTGCTCCACTTAAATTGGCCTCCATGAAGCACATCCGGCAGTGCCCTACATCGAGGCTCCCTCCAGAATGAGTGTGCCCCCTTGCTAACAAACACCTCTTCTAAGCTGGTGCTCGCCTGCAGTAGTGGACGAGACATGATGCCAACCAGCAGAGTTTAGGCCCAAATCCAGCATGTGCCAGGAGCCTGCCTTCTGCTTTATGGCCACAAGACTGTTTGCCAAGCCAAGCTAGATGAACATCTTACAAACGTAACCATTTCCTGTGGCCACGAGTATGACCGAAATGTAAGAATCCATCACTGGCAGCCCCAAATCCTAAAGCACATACTCTATACAAGGTTTTCCAACTTTAGCCTACATCAGAATCATCTGGAGGCCTTGTTAAAACACAGATTTTCAGGTTACATCCCAGGGTTTCTGACTCAGTATGTCTGGGTTAGAGGCTGAGAATGTATATTTCTGACAAGTTCCCAGGTGCTGCTGCTACCTCCGGCATGGGGACTACACTTTGGGGACCCACTGGTCTACACTGAGAGAAGTCAATAGTGTTATATTAAGGAACCATCACCATCATGAAATGATTCACTTTCACTTAGCACACTCTAACCTCACCCAAAGCAGAGGCACAGAAAAGGCTGCAACACAAAGACGACTAATTGTTGATAAATGTAGTCATCGTAAGAAATTAAAAGAAAAAGAATTGCCTTTGAGTTTATCTAATCTAATGCCCTCATTTATTACAATATTACTAAGTTTAGAGAGGTTAAGTGACTTGTTCAGAGAAACAATGAAATGCAGATAACCAATAGCAGAACCCAAACTAGAAACCCCAGCAGCACTATTTAAAATCACAAATATGGACTTTTAGAAATCCAACTTTTGCTATCACCTCTGGGATCACAGAAGTCAAGAGTTTCTGCAATCAGTGAATTTAGGCTTTTTCTTCCCATTCTTCATGCCAAAGCACTCATTCCCTATGTTCATTTCTTAGTAAAACTATGATGAAAGCAGTTCCTGGTTCTCCACGCTCAACTATGTTTCCACTGCCTGCAATTCAGAACTGGTTTTCTCATAGAAATCCCATTACACGTGTGTAGGGCCTTGGGATAACTGCTCCCATGAGGTACAACCTTGCTGAACCCCAGCGATGACAGCACACAGAATCTAACCACCATGAAAAAAAATGTTGCCTTAAAATCTCACTCTGAGTTTCCATTCAGACCCTTGCTCTTCCTGGTCCCTCTGTCCCAGTTTTCTCATGTCAGATTCCTTGTGTCACTCAAGTCTTAGCTGGTGTGTTTTCTCCTCAAGAGGCTCTTCTGAGCACCTAATACAAGCAGACCTCACTCCTACTACCTGACAGTGACTCTCTATCCCCTCACACTCCCCTATTTTCTTTATAGCCCCTAGCACTGTCTGAAACACTCTGTCCATCATTTACTTGCTTATTACCTACCACCTGATACTAGGATAGGAATTCCAAGAGGGCAGAGACTTGGCTTGTCTGCTTCACCACTGTAACCTCAGCACCTAGAAGAGTGCCTGGTGTACAGCGGCTTCTCCATTCATATCTGTTACTCTCTATCCCCTATTTTCTTTATAGCCCCTAGCACTGTCTGAAACACTCTGTCCATCATTTACTTGCTTATTACCTACCACCTGATACTAGGATAGGAATTCCAAGAGGGCAGAGACTTGGCTTGTCTGCTTCACCACTGTAACCTCAGCACCTAGAAGAGTGCCTGGTGTACAGCGGCTTCTCCATTCATATCTGTTAAATGAACAAATAAATGTACCAAGGAATGAAAGAACCTAAGACACTGGGAATAGCTTCTTTTAACGTGGCTCCCAAAGTTGCAGTTTGAGACTTTCTTTCCAGTTTCTCTCCCTTTCAATAGTAGGAGTTGGACTCCTGTGCTTCCCCAGGATGTGAAAGAGAAAATATGCTTTAGGCTGATGTTCTCAGTGACTGGAGAGAGAAGACAGGACGTTCCAGGGATTGCGGGTGGTACTGAATCACTTCCCGGCTCTCGCCCTTTCACATAGAAAAGATGCTGGTGAGAGCTCTACCTGGACATAGGATGTGGGAGGCAATAAGGTGTAGAAGGATGATGCGATATTTTAGAGCCAAGAGATTTGGGTTCAAATCCTAGGCAAGTCATTTAAAGCTCTCTGAGCCCCAGTTTCCTCATCTGTAAAATGGGAGGCGGTGAAAATACCCAAGACACAGTGTACTTGTGAGGATCGAGGAAGTTAGGATATATGAAAACTCCTGGTAAACAGTGAAAGAGAGTAAAAAATGATTAGTAAGACCATGTAGACTCTGGAGGGATCCAAGTGAGTGAAATGTCTCAGAGTGCGCACCTTTGCCCAGACCTGCTCTGCTGCCTCTCTTAGTTCTATCCAGTATCCCCAAACCCGAAGTCGCTGCATGGAAGCCCCCAGCCCAACAACAACAGCCCTGGAGTGCTATCACTGGCCACTCGGGGGCCTGGCGGAGCTGCCAGCAGCATCGCAGCCAGTGGCCACAGTCACAGGCGGTGCGGCCAGGAGGAAGCCCGGGAGAAGACCAGTGTGGGAAGCCGCAAAGGAACATGGAGAAACTGTCAGTGGAACTGAACCAGGGCAAGTGGTAGAAAACAAGCTGAGACTACTCAACTTCTGGTCAAAATTCTTTGGATAACCCGGAGTCCTAGATATGAGAACTTTAGAGAAGCCAAGTTTCCCTCTTATCACCAGACCCTAGCTTCTTATCACCAAGCCCAGGTCCTTGGGACTGTGGGGAGGTCTACACACCTTCCCTTCCCCCAGGTCTCCTTTACCAACTCTGGATTAACCAGTGGGCTACATTAACCAGTTTCCCATCAACCAGATTTTAATGCTTCAGGCAAAGAGGCTCTCAGCCATAAGGTGCCCTCACATTACAGTACCCCAGGTCATTCCCAAACTATTTCCACTCTTCCTTAAGTGATAACCTCCATGACAAACTGTCTGCAAAGAGTAACTTCTTACCCCTTCGCTCAACCTTCAATTCACTCGGCAGCTAACTACATACAACAGGGCACACAGTCTTCACGCAACTGTGCACCACATCCTTGGGAAGACAAGCACCACCGCTAGTTCCTGCCCTCAAACAGCATGTGCTCTGGTTGGGGGCACAGAATTCATCACCACCACCATGAACTGCCATATTCACTGCAGAAAAAAAAAAAAAAAAAAAGTGGATGGGAAATGAAGGCATCTTTCTTGATTAGGTTATCTTCAGTGGCCGAATTCTCTTCCAGTTCCGAAATGCTGTATTGATTGGGGCATCTGGAGCATCGGCAAGTTATTTGATTTCTAGCAGTGTTATGATGTGACTGCTGATGGTGGTTGCTTGAATCAGGAAAGTTCAGGGAGGCGTCATGCATCGAGGGACTTAAAGAACAGAAGGATTTCAACATGTAGAAAGGGTGAGACAGGGCGCTCCAGGAAGGGGAAGTGAGTGAGGCAAAGGGCTGAAGGGTGTATGTAACCAGGGCAAAGCCAGGATGTGGGGCATGGAAGGGATAAAAGCTTGCTGGGTTTGGGCGCCTGTGAACTCTCCAAGGTGAATTACCCAAAAGCTACAGGTCTCCACCTGCTATCCTCAGCTCTGGGTTGACACCAGCCTATAAATGATGAATGTGTGAGTATGCTCAGGGGGTGATTCAGGTGAATGCCTGTACTAAAGATCGCTGGCTTTCAGGGGATGAGGAGAGAGAGGTGCCAGAGAGGAAGGGGGACCATGGAGCCTTATTCAGCCTGTCCACCCACTGGGCCTATGCCCAAGGCCACCTATTGCCTCTGAGAGGGTGAAGACAGACCTGCCTTGGCCTCTCCTTCACCCTCTGCCCCTCCCCGACCTGCGTTCAGGGCTGGGGTGGAGAGGAACAGCAGGACTCTGTTACTCTAGGCAAATCTTGACAGACAGGTTGGGACCTGCACACAGGGCCACCCAGTTGTGTGGGGCAGGTGCTGGGGGAGGGGCATCAGTTAGCCAGAAACAGGTGTGAAGGGTCCATGATCTCTGGTTTGGGGCCGGGCAAGGGTGGCCATGGAGCATCCCACTGAAGAGAGAACAGCCTCACTTCTCCTTCTGCTCAGGTTCGCCTCACCCTATCCCACCCACTGAACTTCTCTACTCATTCACCCCCTGAGCCTCTGTACAGACCGATCCCTTCGTCTGGGGTGCCCTTCACAGCTTCCTCTCGGCATATCCTCAGTGCATTTCCAAAACTCACCTTCTCCATGAAGTCCCTGACTCTTTTGTTAATATCAATCTTTTCCTCCCCTGGGCTCCCAAAGTACACTGTTCTCACGGCACTCTTCACATACGAAAATTACCCATGGCTCTGTCTCCCCCCCTAGACCATAAAGCCCTCAGATTACAGTCTGCATCAGGGGTCACAGATTCGAGTGACGATGGTCATATAAATGTGGCAGGTCATATAAATGTGGAAAGCAGCTCATTTATGGGACCTAGATGGTTGCTGTCTTGGTGTTAGCCAGACAATTAGAAGTCTCAGGATCCGTGATGCATCAGAGGGACTGAACTTAACGAAAGAGGAAAATACCACCATGTGGGACTGTGGGCCAGCATTACCCAAACTTCACATTTCTGGGGAGAAGCCAGGTATCAGCATTCTCATATGAAATCACCCCATCTTTATGTGTCAGCAGCAAATTCAAATTTAAGACACCATGTTGT